ACCTGGGAAGAGCTGACTTCAGGCCCAAGGCTGGGCGCCACTCCTGGGTGTGGCACGAGTGTCATGGGTGAGAGGGTCAAGTAGAAGGGCAAAGCCACTGGGGATAGAGTGAACCTGCTGGGCGCAGGGAAGGAAACAGGGGTTCCCTTGTCTCTTGTCCCCACAGGCATTACCACAGTATGGACATCTTCACTCACTACGATATCCTGACCCCCAATGGCACCAAGGTGGCCGAGGGCCACAAAGCTAGTTTCTGTCTCGAAGACACCGAGTGTCAGGAGGGTGAGTGGTGCCTAGAATGAGCTACAGTATCTCCATCCCATAAGCTTGCCTCACACTGACATATGCCATGCCAACCCCTTCAGATGTCTCCAAGAGGTATGAGTGTGCCAACTTTGGAGAGCAGGGCATCACTGTGGGTTGCTGGGATCTTTACCGACATGACATTGACTGTCAGTGGATTGACATCACAGATGTGAAGCCAGGAAACTACATTCTACAGGTGCCTGGGGTCTGAGATTTCCAGCTGGCGAGGGGGCGCAGTGTTTATTCAAGACAACTTAGAATTATGTTGCCTTTCTCCCACTCATAGGTGGTCATCAACCCCAATTATGAAGTAGCAGAGACTGACTTCACCAACAATGCAATGAAATGTAACTGCAAATATGATGGACATCGCATCTGGGTGCACAACTGCCACATTGGTATTTGGTGGGAAAAGCAGCCCGGGAAGACGGGATGGGAGGGAAAGCCCTTCATTCTCTTCTCCCTAAGTTGTTTCTGTCTTCCCACCCACCTCTGGATCTCCCAGCCTCTTCATTTCCCCCCACCCTTCCCCACAAAGGGTCTGTTTTCCTGCCCAACCCACCCATTCACTTCACAGGCGATGCCTTCAGTGAAGAGGCCAATAAGAGGTTCGAGCGCTACCCTGGCCAGACCAGCAACCAGATCATCTAAGGTGCCAACACCCACCTCTTCAAACCACCACTGGCCCCTAATGGCAGGGGTCTGAGGCTGCCATTACCTCAGGAGCTTAAAAGGAACCCCGGATGTCAGCAGGCCCACTGCAATCATCCAGTGTGTACTAAGGATGTGGAACTGTCAAGCATAAGTTATCAACCTCCTTCCAAGGCCAGTGGTCCGGATCTGTGGCCAAGCATGGAGGATCCTGGCTCTCAGGCCCAGCACGGAGCTGAACTCGAGACAAAGAGCAGCACCTGATAACTGGCCAGAACAAGAGACGGCAGCAGCTCGTTTTCTCGAATAGCGAGGTCAGGACGGTCAGCTCCAGTATATCCTCTCAGTTCAGGGGAAATACAGCTTTACCTCGAGCCTTTTTATGGGGGAAAAGATCAGTGCCCCCTTCTTCATTTTTGACTATAACATGTTGCTAGGTATAATTTTATTTTATATAAAAAATGTTTTTGTGATTCCTCAGAGCCCAGGGATTGGTGCTGGTGGTTGGAGGGACCGGCCCCCCGCTGGCTCCTTTAATCCTATGTCCAGGTGCCCTCAGAGCCTAGGCCAGGAAAGCAAGGTGGAAATCAGAGCAGGAGCCCCATTCTCTTGTTGATCCATTCATTCTGTGATTTCAGGGGTCACATATAAAGTCAATGTTTCCGGTCCCCGCCGGATCCGCACTGCCAGCTGGGATTGGGTTCGAACAGCTTCATAAATATCTTCAGCATTTTGTACCACCTGCTCCCCAATGGCCAAGATCACATCACCTGGCCGCAGACCAGCCCTAAGGCAAAGGATGGGCAGAGAGAAAGAAGGGAGCAGATAGTCCAGTTCAAGGGCACATGCACACCTTACCCATCCCCACCGCACAGTGCAGTCTCTCCCTCACCGGTGTGCAGGGGAATCCAGGATGACTTTATGGATGAGCACACCGTGTTGAACATCAGGAAAGCTTGGTTCTCGAAGCTGTAGTTCAGCAAGGATGCTGAAAGGACACAAACCATGCTGGTAACCACTGGGAGGTACTCTCAAGCCCATTTGAGGTTCACCTTAAATTTCTCAATACACTGGCGATTGTATGGACAGGGAATGAACTACGTACTCCAGATACAAAGGCAATTTACTTTCTGCCTTCTACTAGCTAGGAAATGGAACATTATAGAAAAGATACCTAATTCCATGTAACACATAATGTTAAGTCAATAGCACTAATCTCATTCTAGAATCCTAAGAGAAGCTTTAAGGGAGTAGAATTTAAGCTGAGCCTAGAGCACTGGTTCTCAACCTTGGCTGCACATTAGAATCACCTGGGAATCTTTTTAAAATCCTGATTTCTGGGCCTCATCCTCCATTCTAGGCCCAGAAATCAGGATTTTAAAAAGATTCCCAGGTGATTCTAATGTGCAGCCAAGGTTGAGAACCACTGGCCTAAAGGGATAGATAGGCCTGATATTTAAGTATATAAAACAAGAACAACATGAATAAAGACCTGGAGTAGGAAATCAGGTTGACTGGAACAGAATATATTCACGTAGGAAACCAGGTCTGAAAAATGGCCCCTAAACACTAAATTAACAGACTGTCAATCAAAGAAGTAATGGGATGAAATCAATCTGGTGGCAGTTGTGCAAAACGGAGTGGGGTGAAAAGTCAAGAGAACAGCTGTTCTGGTATCTCCAGGTCTGAAGTAATTCACTATAGATAAAGACAATTGAGAATAAAGCTCAAAAGAAATTCCATTTGCCCACCAATGTAGGTGGTCCTCATACCTGGGAGTCAGGGTCAACATCATCACCCCAATGTAGCGGCGCTGGGACCCACTGGTTCCAAACCAGGAATCTGTGATAAAAAGACAAATGAGCCTCACCTAGCTACATCCTTCCTTCCCCTCTCCAACAAGGCCCAATGAACGCCCCACCCACCACCTAAAGGACCCTCCCCACCCAAGCCAGGCTTACTCTTCTTTTCCCCACGATGTAGAAACTCTCGAAGGCGATCAGAAGGGATGGCAAAGGAGATGCCAGCTGTGACCTTCATGGTATTCACTCCGATCACCTCCCCATCCTGCAGGGACAGAGCCCACTATTCCTTAGCCCAAACCAATAGTGGGAGATGGGGGTACCTGAACAAGAAGAATAGCAGGGAGTGTTGGGGAGGTAGGGAGATCTGGTTGGATTCTGGACAACAGCTAGCAAGGGATTGTTCAGAAACTTGACCAAACCTCACTGAATTGGGGAAAAACCCACCCGTCTCCACACTGACCTGAGGCAGGGATTCCTGGAAAGAAGAATGTCCCACTCACCAGGTTAACCAGGGGACCTCCAGAATTTCCGAACTGCAGGACAAGGAGAAAATATGGAAGAGATCCAGGGACTCTATGCCTGGGGGCATACCAGGATGTAGGCCTTTTTTCTCCAAATTATCTCCTTTCCCAGCCCTTGAACAGGGGCCACATTTTTGTAGCCCAACTTCGATATACAGGGGCGGGCAAAAGTAGCTTTATAGTTGTAATACAATAAGTAATAATAACACAATAATAAGTAATAATACAAGGATAAACTGTGTTTCGTGTACTCGCAACTGTAGATACTTTTGCCCAGCCCTTGACAGGCTCGTCCACCATCTATCACACTTGGTGCCTGCACCACACAGCCTCACCCCTTCTCCCAGCCTAGATCGCCAACCCCTTCCCCTTCCTCGCCCCCCATCAGTACGCACATCAATGGCTGCATCAGTCTGGATGTATTCCACATTGTTTTGGGGGAGGCCCAGTTCTTTGGCCGGACGCTGAACCGAGCTGACAATGCCGGACGTGATCGTGTTCTGCAGAGCAAAGGGGCTTCCCATGGCCACCACAAACTCCCCTTGCCGGACATCAGCGGAGCGTCCCAGGGGCAGCGTGGGGAGAGGCTCCTAGAGAGAATGGGTCAAAGGGGCCCGTCACCTGGGGGTGCCGGCAAACGCACAGCCCCGAGCGGACCCGCCGGCCCGGCCCCCACCTTGGTCTGGATCCTCAGCGTGGCGATGTCGGCCACCGGATCCACGGCTGTGACCGTGGCTTCGTAGGTGTCGCCGCTGGGCAGCCTCACACGAACGCGGCGCCGATCAGCCACCACGTGGGCATTGGTCACGATGAGTCCGTCCGCAGCCACCACGAATCCTGAGCCGTTCGAGATGGGGACTTCGCGGCCGGAAAAGGGGTGTCTGGAACGGGGGGAAGCGCGGGTGTGAGGAGGACGGACTCCTCCGGCTCGCCCGCCCTCTAGCCCGCGACTCCGGTGCCGCTGGTCTACCCCGCCGTTACCGGCCCAGGATCTCGATATAAACGACCGCAGGTGCGGTCTTCTCCACCACGTCGGCGATGAAGTTGTACTGGCTCCGGGGAGAGGTGGGCGGCGGGCGAAGGACAGCGGCCAAGACGGACGGGGGACCCCGCCCCCCGCCCCACAGCAACAGGAGCACTGCCCCCCCAGCGCCCAGGGCCACAGCCAGCCACGTGCGCGGAGGGGACCCAGGGGTCCCTGAGCCCTCCCGGGTCTGAGGATCCGGGGCCCCCGCAGTCAGCCGTGCTCGGGAATCCGAAGTCCCCGGCGTCAGACACGTTCGTGGTCCAGGGACCCCCACAGAGAACCGGGCCCGGAGACTGGGGGTCCCATAAGTCACTCGGGCCCGAGGGGTTCCTGACGTCAGCAGGGCCCGGAGGTCAGGGGTCAACAGGGGCGCCTTCCCCCAGCGAAATCCCCCCAAAGCCCGCCATCCCCGAAGGCTCCAGCCTGCACCCCGCCCCGCCCTCAGTGCAGCCATCAGCTCCGCCTCGGCGGCCTCCTCGCCCGCCCTACACAGAGGCGGCGCCCGGGACGTGAGCAGGTGACCGCGGGGCGCGGGGCACGCCGGTACCTGAAGTCCTGCAGAGGCGCACCCGGCCCTGGATTCCGGGAGGCCGGCTCCGCCCCCGCCCCGAGAATGTTGGGAATTGTAGTCCCTGCGGCACGCGAGCGCTGGGGCGGCCCCAGGGCCCGCGAGGCATGCTGGGGCGGCTAGCCCTTCCGGGGCGCAGGAGGATTTCGGGTCCTGGCACCCAGGGCCGACGCCCGGAGACTCCGCCTTCCCAGGAGCCCCTGCGGCGGGTCGCGAAGATGGCGGCGGCGGCGGCGGCCGGACACCCCTAAAGCAACCGCGATGGACCCTCCCCAAGCGCCGGGGCCGGAGCGACTCTTTGACTCGCACCGGTAAGAACGCCTGCGGGGAGACACCGGCGCCCGCACTCCCTCGGCCCTCGGCGCCCGATCATCCCGCCTCTCGCCCCCAGGCTCCCGGGTGACGGCTTCCTGCTCCTCGCGCTGCTGCTCTACGCGCCCGTCGGGTTCTGCCTCCTCGTCCTGCGCCTCTTCCTTGGGATCCACGTCTTCCTAGTCAGCTGCGCGCTGCCGGACAGCGTCCTTCGCAGGTTCCGACCCGGGCGCTCGGGGAGGGTCTGGGCCGGGTTCGGCCCGAGCAGTGCCGTCACGATCGCCTGCGCCCGCAGGTTCGTGGTGCGGACCATGTGTGCGGTGCTGGGGCTCGTGGCCCGGCAGGAGGACCCGGGACTCCGCGATCACCGCGTCCGGGTCCTCATTTCCAACCACGTGACGCCTTTCGATCACAACATAGTCAACCTGCTCACCAGCTGCAGCACCGTGAGTGGGGCGAAGCCAGAACTCCCGGGGCAGTGCCCGGGGGCCCAGCGCCAGGCCACCCTCTGCCCGCCCGGTGTTGCCTGGGACGCCACCAGATACTGAGCCGCACCCCGAACCCCGTTTCTCCCCCCGACCCCCATTTGTCAGTTTTGTCACTCCACAACATTCTTCTTGCCTTCTCTCTTCCCTGTTCCCAGCCTCTACTCAATAGCCCCCCCAGCTTTGTGTGCTGGTCTCGGGGCTTCCTGGAGATGGATGGGCGGGGGGAGTTGGTGGAGTCACTCAAGAGATTCTGTGCTTCCACGAGGCTTCCCCCAACCCCTCTGCTGCTCTTCCCCGAGGAAGAGGCCACCAATGGCCGGGAGGGGCTCCTGCGCTTCAGGTGGGTGAGCACAGGTATTGGCCTCCACATGCCTTGGTAGTCAAGCTTGAGGGCCCTTGGGTTTTCACGACCTTCTTCAGCCCTAACCCCCTCCATTCTTCGTTCATTTCCTTCCTGTCCACTTTTGGCTCTTACCCCCGAGTCCCGTTAGTCCCCATGTATCCAGTGGGCAGTGTGACAGTTCCTGTTTTGAGTCAGGTATGAGCTGCCGCCTGGGCTGGCTGGAGTCCCATTCTGTTCTCTCTTCCTTCCAGTTCCTGGCCATTTTCTATCCAGGATGTGGTACAGCCTCTTACCCTTCGAGTCCAGAGACCCCTAGTCTCTGTGGTGAGTGCATGTTGCATAGGGAATCCTTGGGGCGTGGGGGAGAGTTTCCCACTCCCGGCCCTGACTTAGATCTCACTTCGTGCCTTCCTCTCAGACGGTGTCAGATGCCTCCTGGGTGTCAGAACTGTTGTGGTCACTTTTTGTCCCTTTCACGGTGTACCAAGTAAGGTATTGTCCTCATTTTTTGGTGGCTGGGAAAAGTTCACCTCAAGGTCAAGAAAGTAGTTGCCTCTGCCCTGTCCACTTGCAGATCTTTTAATAGCAAGGTTCCACCAGAGGGGCATACAAAGAATTTACTCTCTCCCCGCCCTCACCACCACTATCCCATGAAAAGAGGTATCAGCAGGTGCCCCCAACATGGCCCTGGATTGTTTTTTGCAGGTGGCTCCGTCCTGTTCATCGCCAGCTGGGGGAGGGGAATGAGGAGTTCGCCCTGCGTGTACAGCAGGTGGTAGGGTACACAGGCAGGGTGGAGGCGGGGTCTTTCCTCAGGTGGAGAGGGACGAAGGCTTGAGACCTTGACACTCCCAACCTTCCGATTCTCCCTAGCTGGTGGCCAAAGAACTGGGCCAGACAGGGACACGACTCACCCCCGCAGACAAAGCAGAGCACATGAAGCGACAAAGACATGCCAGATTGCACCCCCAGTCAGGTGTGTGGTCTCTGTACACCGAGCTTTTTGTTTTCCTTCAGCTCATTGTGATGTCCTCCCTCTTCCTGTGCCCGTCAGTCTTTCCTTCCTCCCCATCTCCACTCACCGTATTTTGGATTTCTTTTTTGCAGCCCAGTCTTCTTTTCCCCCCTCCCCTGGCCCTTCTCCTGATGTGCAGCTGGCAACTCTGGCTCAAAGAGTCAAGGAGGTTTTACCCCATGTGCCACTGGGCGTCATCCAGAGAGATCTCGGTATGGGAAAGGGTAGCCCCACACAGGAAAACACAGAGAGGAAAAGTGGGTGAAAAGGGGGAAAGGTGAGCAGGGAAACAGGCCCCTTCTCCTCTCTTCCCTTCTCCCCAGCCAGGACTGGATGTGTAGACTTGACCATCACCAATTTACTTGAGGGAGCTGTAGCTTTCATACCTGAAGACATCACTGAGGGGACCCAGGCCCTTCCCACAGCCTCTGCCCCCAAGGTGAGACCCAGGAAATGGTCAGACCCAAGACCTGGGGTGGGTGGGGCAGTCTGCATACTCCCTTTCCCTGATGTCTCTGTTTTGATCCTGAGACCCTAGCACAGTGCCTCTCTTGCAAAGTAGGCATTCGATGCAGGTTTAATGATGATGACTCCGCAAGCCCTCTGACATTGTGATCACCTCAGTTCCCCAGCTCTGGCCCGGTGACCCCTCAGCCCACAGCCCTAACATTTGCCAAGTCCTCCTGGGCCCGGCAAGAAAGCCTACAGGAGCGCAAGCAAGCACTATATGAATATGCAAGAAGGTGAGGGGCTTAGAGAATAATGGGTAGGAAGGGGCAGGTTGAAGAAGGGAGCTAATTATGGAGTTAATATGGCAAAGCCCACACGATGTCTCCCCCCCTGTGTCCCACAGGAGATTCACAGAAAGACAGGCCCAGGAGGCTGACTGAGCACAGGATGGCACCCAGAGCCGCAGGACGGAGCCTGGGGGCAGCCCTCACCCAACTCAACAGGCCGGATGGGTGGGTGGTAGAAAGGGAGAGATGGCTCCCCCCCAGTATCACATTAAATTCAGGGCTTTCACTCAAGGTCTCTGTTGCCTCTCTGGGTCTAAAAAGCATCCTGAACAGGTTCCTTTTTCCTCGTGTGGGTGGAACGGGGATGAGGTCTTCTTTGTAGGTTTGTGGGGGGTGGTCAGAATGGAACTGTCTGAAATCGCCTCCTCATGTCAAGAAATGAATGATATTAAGGAAGTGTAACTGAACTGAAGACCCAACAGCAACTGAACACAGCTGGGGTGTTTAACCCAGGTTTGTGAAGAAACAGCTGCAAAACTACAAGTCCCAGGATGCCTTTCACCGAACATAGTTTATATAGAGTTCATACGCCCAGTGTGATGGCTGGAGTCTGTTTTCCATAGGCTCCTGACTAGGTTAAATAAGGCGGAGCAAATGGCTCCACCCCAGAAGTGTCTAGAATTGTATTTGAGCCAAGCCTCAGGGTGGAGCCGGAACTGACCTTTGTACTTCATGCTGGTCAAGGTTGGTGGGAACTGGCTGTGTGGTTCTGGAACTGGCTGCCGTCCTGACACGTCTCAGAGCTGCAAGCAGGTTTGATTCCAGGATCCTGTGGCCCTACTCCCCTCCTTTTATTCTTTATCCTTTTCCCTTGGGGTCCTTCCCCCGGGTCTTACATAATTCCTGCTGCCCCTGAGGGCTCCTGTGTTAGTCACAGGATTTTTACTACCTGCTTCAGGATAATCCACTTCTGATAGTCCTTTACTAGGAGACTTAGGTCTCCACTTTCCTGGCAGCCAAGAAGTGCTGGGAAGGACCTGGCTGGGTGGTTCAGTTGGTTGGAGCATTACCCCGTATACCTCCATATACGTGTAGGTGGAGGGTTCAGTTCCTGGTCAGGGTACATATCTAGATTGCAGGTTCATTCCACCCAATTGTGGTGCATATGGGAGGCAACTGACTGATCTCTCTCCCTCTCCCACCCAACCCCCCAAATCAATAAACATCCTCAGGTAAGGATTGAAAAACAGACACACACAGTCCTGACAGGTGTTCTCAGTGGTTAGATTGAGGGCCCTGGTCACCAAAGAGCCTCGGGTTTGATTCCTGATCAAAGGCACCTGGGTTGCAGATTCAACAACCAATCAATATGGCTCTCATATCAATGTTTTTTCAAAAATCGGTGGAAAAATATCCTCAGGTGATAATTTTTTTTAAAAAGTTCTTGGAAGGATGGACCTCAGTGCATTACCAGCTGAGGGTAAAAGGTTGGGGATCAGGGCTGAGGTGCAAAGATGGTATGAGGCCTTAATGACTGCCCTGCCTTCTGTAGGTACTGCGGTGAGCTATCATGGCCTCTCAGCTTCTTGGCCTGGCAGAAGAGTCTGGCCTGAGCCCTGGGGAGTCTGAACTGGCTGTGAACCCCTTTGACGGGCTTCCCTTCTCTTCCCACTACTACGACCTGCTTGAGCAGCGCCGAGCCTTGCCCATCTGGGCTGCTCGCTTTGTCTTCTTGGAGCAATTGGAGAGTAGCCCCAGTGGAGTGGTGATTGTGTCTGGAGAGCCTGGCTCTGGCAAGAGCACCCAGGTGGGGGTAGATTCGGGGAGAGACAAGGGGAGAGGCTAGGAAATTGGTCCTTCCTTGGACATAGGGGGATTGGACTGCCAGGGGTTTTGGGGGAGGTAGGCAAAGGAGTCAGGTTAAGCTGGCCCCCGGGTGGTAAAAGACCAGTGTATGCCCCCAAATAAGGCCATAGCTCCCCTAGCCCTTCCGACTGAAGTCCTGTGTCTTGCTGACTGGTTGTCCTTCCCTACCCCAGATCCCTCAGTGGTGTGCAGAGTTTGCACTGGCCAGGGGATGCCAGGTAACTGTCACTCAGCCCTACCCTCTGGCAGCCCTGAGCCTGGCCCTGCAGGTTGCTGATGAGATGGACCTGACCCTGGGTCATGAGGTTGGATACAGCATCCCCCAGGAGGATTGCACTGGGCCCCAAACCCTGCTCAGGTGAGGCTTCTTCCAGGCCTGATTCAAATCTAATTCCCCTCACGCAATAGGAGCAGGCCCAGCCCTCTGACACCTCACCATACCCTCTCAGCCCAGCTCGCCCTTTAAAGCATGCACTATGCATTGCTGAATTAGACTCTTTAATCCTAGCCTGGACCTCACATTCATCCTCACACTTATTACAAAAGTCTGACTTTCCCAGCTGGGGTACAGCTTCTGAACAAAGTGTCACCAGTCAGTAAGGTTGTGGGTCACTGTTAAGGAATTCAGTCACAGTCTTTTTCTGACCTTAACTATCAAAATCTAGGCTCCCTGGATAGAAACTCCCCTGGACAGGCTGGCCAATATCCACACTGACTCCTGCCCACTGCCAATGTCAACAGGTTTTGCTGGGACAGGCTGCTTCTTCAGGAGGTGGCCTCAACCCGGGGCACTGGAGCCTGGGATGTGCTGGTACTGGATGAGGCTCAAGAGCGGTCAGTGGCCTCAGACTTGCTCCAGGGGCTGCTGCGAGATGCCGGGCTGGGAAACCTTCCAGGGGACCCCAAAGTGGTGGTGGTCACTGATCCAGCCCTTGAACCTAAGCTCCAAGCCTTCTGGGGCAATCCTCCTATTGTACGTGTACCCAGAGGGCCTGGCAGGTGTCCCACTCCCACCTACAGGGACACTGTCCCTCCTGATCGAGTGGAAGCTGCCTGCCAAGCTGTGCTTGAATTGTGTCGAAAGGAGGCTCCAGGAGACGTGCTAGTGTACCTGCCCAGTGAGGAGGTAAAAAACGGGCTGCAAAAGGAGGTGCTCTTTATGCCACCTTCCTGTCCTGGGAACGGGAGCACTGCTTGTTAGGAACACTGGAGTTGTAGTATTCACTCTCTGTTGGGGTCCTGGGGAAACACTCAAGGATTTCAGGGTAAAGATGTCTACTACCCTCTTTTTTATTCCATCAAATGCAGAGAGTAGTGGTTCAATGAATTCCTGAAATTATAACACTCCCCAACTTTTATGAGTATGTGCATTTTTTCAGAGTGAAGGGCCATAGCTTTCATCAGTTTTTCAAAGAGGTCTGTGACCCAGAAGAGGTGAGAAGTGCCCTAATACCCCAACCCTCTCCTCAGGAAATTTCCCTGTGCTGTGAATCCTTGTCCAGGGAGGTAGGGACCTTGGCAATCCAAGGACCTCCACCACGGGTGCTGCCCCTTCACCCAGGCCATGGTCAAGCTGTTCAGGCTGTGTATGAAGACACAGACTCGGGTGCCCGAAAGATTGTGGTCACTCACTGGCTGGCTGACTTCTCCTTCTCCCTCCCTTCCATTCGACATGTCATTGACTCAGGACTGGAGCTTCGAAGTGTGAGTGACAAAGATGAGGGGTTGTGGAGGCTAAAGATATGAATGGCCCACTCTAATCTGTCTTGACCTTGGTTGGCGGGCGGTGACAGGTGTACAATCCTCAGATCCGAGCAGAATCCCAAGTGCTGAGACCAATCAGCAAGTGTCAGGCAAAGGCAAGACAACTACGGGCAAGAGGGGCCCCTCCAGGTAAGAGCCTTTGCCCTCCCTGACATCGCCCATGAAAGTCACTGACATGCAAGCCCCGAGAAATCTACAGTGGTCTTCTTGCCCAGGTCTTTTTCCCCTCAGGATCCTGCCTCTGCCTTTATCCTAAGTCCTTCCAAGAACTAGAAGCTACCCCATTGCCCCAACCCAGGGTGTGTGAGGAAAATCTGAGCCCTCTGGTATTACTGCTAAAAAGGAGACAGATTGCAGAGCCAGGGGAGTGTCACTTCCTGGACCGGCCTGGTGAGCACTCCTCCTGCCCAAGTCCTGCTGTCTGGCCACAGGCTCTGAGGTCCTCTGCACTATAAGCCCTGTTTCCTCCCCAGCTCCAGAAGCACTGATGCAGGCCCTGGAAGACTTAGACTACCTGGCAGCCCTGGATGACAACGGACACCTGTCAGACTTAGGTGTCATCCTATCAGAGTTCCCTCTGCCCCCTGAGTTGGCCAAAGCCCTGCTGGCTTCATGCGAGTTTGAATGTGTGGATGAGATGCTCACCCTTGCTGCCATGCTCACTGGTATAACTCACCTCTCTCCCTGGCTCCTGTGGCTACTTCAGTCCTTCCCCTTGGTGTGTTGGTGCTCCAAAGGCTAGCCCTTTCCCCCAAGCTCCAGTTTCTACCACGCGATGCCTACAGAACCAGGTTTCATCAGTTATCGCTCTTCTGTCTCTTTAGCCTTTTTCCTTCTGCTGGTTCTTCCTCTCAACATGTTTGAATCTCTTCTATCTGTTATTACTAAAACTCTTCCCCCCTCTTCTTCAACCCTATACTCCTCTTCAGCTATATGGTATAATCTCTACCCTATTCCATCTAGTGTATTTCTCACCCACCACACTCCAGATTCAGGTCCACCACCACACTGAGACAGCTTTCAGCTCACCAGTGACCTGAAGACCTAACCCAGTGAACACATTTAAGCTCTCATTCATGATCTTTTTTTTTTTTTCTTTTTTCAGAGAGGAAGGGAGAGGGAGAGAGAGAGAAACATCAATAATGAGAGAATCATTGATCGGCCACCTCCTGCATGCCCCCTACTGGGGATCGAACCCACAACCCGGGCATGTGCCCTTGACCGGAATCAAACCTGGGACTCTTCAGTCCCTAGGCCGACGCTCTGTCCACTGAGCCAAATCGGCTAGGGCTCATTCATGACCTTTTGACACTTCAGAATGTTGGCCACTCCCACCTTGAAACTGCCCCACTAAACTTCTGTGACCACTCCTCCTGGTTCTCATCCTACCTCCCTACCATTCCCTTAATGTCTTACTTGGGCGCTTCATCTTCTGCTCATCCACTGTAAGTTGGACCTCAGGGTTTTGTATTCTTGCCCTTTGTGTCTTCTCATTCCCTGAACTCTCTAAGCAAGTTCATCCACACCCATGCTCTGAAGGGATACCTTCACACTTAAAATATACAAACCTTGTATCTCCCTCTCAATGCCATTCTTCTGAATCTTAGATTTATATGTTTAACTCCTGATGGACATGTCTACCAGAACAGTCTACAGTACTTCAAGCCAGAACTAAACTTGAACACTTTCTTAAACGACCTTCTCACCACAAAATGATACCATCATCTCCGCAGCTCCATTACCCTCATTTTAGATTAATCTATCTCTGGTTCCTTTCATTTTTATCTCTTAAGTATTATTTTAGTTAATCTGCTGTTCTCCATACTCACTGTCAGGTTCTGTCAGTGCTCAGCTGGACTCCTTCAGCAGCCTCCTAATTAGTCATGTGAAATTTGAACTTCTTCAAACACAGGGACTCTCTTACTTAAAAACGCTTCAACAGCTATTTTTTACCTTCTAGACAGACTGTAAACTCATTTACCTACCTCCCCAGCTTTATCCCCTGTAACTGCCATGCACGCCATTCCAACCACCCACACTAGGCGCTTGCAGTTCTCCAAACATGCCATGCTACTAACTTGCTGTGCCCACAGTCCAGAATCCTCTCTCCAGGCCTTTGCCACTGAGCTAATTCCTACTCAAACTTCAAATGTTGGCCCACACACCTATCTTGCTCATCAAGTTTGTTCACTTGTTTGTCTCCCACCAGACTCCTTGAGGACAGAAACTGTCTTTCATTTACCTTCAATGTCTAATAAAGTGCATAGCACTTAGAAGTTATCAATATCTTTTGAATTAAGTCCCCAAAGTGACATTTCTACCTTTGTACCTTTCCACCTGTTCTGCTATCCTTTCGAATTCCCCCAAACATCCTTCCTCTCTCCTGCCTGCAGCTGCCCCCGGGTTTACCCGTCCTCCACTCTGTGCAGAGGAAGCTGCTTTACGCCGGGCCCTGGAGCATGCAGACGGTGACCACAGTTCTCTGATCCAGGTGTATGAAGCCTTTCTACAGAGTGAGTGGCCCACTCTGCATTGTCTTATAGAATCCCAGATATCCCACAAGTGGTGTGCAACCAGCTGACAGATCTCTATGCCTAGGAAGAGGAGGCCCTTTGGCCAAGGGTTTGGTTCTTTCAGGGGTCTTAAGGGCTTTAGTTGTAGCTGGTCCTTTTCCTCTCCTAGGTGGAGCAGACAAGGCTTGGTGCCAGGCTCGGGGTCTAAGCTGGGCAGCACTGTGCCAAGCCCAGAAACTTCGAGGAGAACTCCTAGAACTTATGCAACGAATTGAACTTCCCTTGTCCCAACCAGCCTTTGGCTCTGAGAAGAATCGCAGAGACCTTCAGAAAGCTCTGGTGTCTGGATACTTCCTTAAGGTTAGGGGAAAGAGTTGGGGTCATGAAAGGATTGGAAGTCAGAGAGACCAAAGATTGGTATGCCATCTCTGAAACTGGGGTCCAGATGGCCATTCAGAGGATTCTATAGAACCAGCAGAGACTTCCTTTGGGGTACAAGGAGCTTTTGGTGTGAAGGAACTATAACATCTAGAGGAAATGCTTTACTTTAATACTCTCATCACCCTTACTAATTCCTTATCTCCCCTTACTTTTTTTCTACTGTCTGCCTCTTCTCTATAACTTATTCCTTCAATATCTTTGCCTTCCAATGAGGTGGCCCAAGACACGGATGGGACTGGAAATTACCTGCTCCTAACGCATAAGCATGTGGCCCAGCTCTCCCCATTCTGCTGCTACCGAAGCCGCCGGGCTCCAGCCAGGCCCCCACCGTGGGTGATTTACCACAGTTTCTCCATTTCCAAAGACAACTGCCTTTCCATTGTTTCTGAGATTCAACCACAGATGTGAGTTCCATGACACCCCTCCTACACTGCCCATTCCTCTTCCTGGGGCCAAAATATGGCTGGGGAGTTAGTTAGAGAGCCTTAAGAAGAAGAGGGAATCATAGTGGTCTGTAGTAACATGATTTGAGAAGACAAGGTTTGTGGAAGGGATAGTAAGAAGCTTAAAAATATGCTTTATGAGAGCATATATAGAAATCATCTAATTCTGACTCTCTGTGTCAGGCTGGTGGAGTTGGCCCCTCCATACTTCCTGAGTAACCTGCCTCCCAGTGAAAGCAGAGACTTCCTGAACCAGCTGAGGGAAGAAATGACAGATTCTTCAACAGAGAGTGAATCCTCCTCCACCCAAGAATTTAGAGATGCCTGTGTCCTGCAGTGACCTGCCTGAGGAATGGAGCAGATCTCATCTCATTGTATTCAATACTTCCTTACTCTGGCACCAAGGCAACCAGCCAGATTTAAAAGCCGGAAGTTGCCCCGCAGGTGTGGCTTAGAGGTTGAGCGTAGACCTATGAACCAGGTCTAAGTTCGATTTCCAGTCAGGGTATGTGCCCAGGTTGCAGACTTTGTCCCCAGTAGGGGGCATGCAGGAGGGAACCAATCAGTGATTCTCTCTCATCATTGACGTTTCTATCTCTCCCTCTCCCTTCCTCTCTGAAATCAATAAAAAAATAATTTAAAAAATAAAATCTTAAAAAAAAAAAAAAAAAAAGCCGAGCCTGGCTGGTTTGGCTCAGTGGATAAAGTGTCAGCCTGCAGACTGAAAAGTCCTACGTTTGATTCCCATCAAGGGCATATGCCTGGGTTGTAGGCTTGGTCCCCAGTGGGGGGCGTGCAGGAGGCAGCCGGTCCATGTTTCTCTCTCATCATTGACGTTTCTATCTCTCCCTCTCCCTTCCTCTCTGAAATCAATTAAAACATATATTTTTTTAAAAAGCCAAAAGTTTAAGATCAAATATAAATCTTGGAATCTGAGTCTCAAGGATTGGTAGGCTGGGGCCCTGGCCACGTGCTCCAGTGATTAGAGCTTCGTCCCAATATGCCAAGGTTGTGGGTTTGATCCCCGGTCAGAGCACATATAGGAATCAACAATGCACGCACAAATAAGTGGAACAACAAATCAACCAACCTCTCTCCCCCGCCACCCCCCCTCTCAAATCAAAGAAGTGTTGGGCTTGGAATAAAAGGAATCGGGTAAGCCACAATCTACATAGGGTAGGACCCTTTCCTTAGCCTTCTATTTATTGGAGAGGGACTGACATGCCCCCATATCCTCAACTTAAGCTAAACCTATTCTTGTGCTTCCTTTTGAGCTACAAAAATTCTTTTTCTATAGTGCCAAATTTGAGGTTGGTTCTGCAGCAGCATATACAACATGAGGTATCCCGGCTAATGTGGCTAAGCATTTGAGCATCAACCCAGGAACCAAGAGGTTGTTGGTTAAATTCCCAGTCAGGGTACATGCCCAGGTTGTAGGCTTGATCCTCCTCCAGTAGGGACTATTCAAGAGGCAGTTGATCCATGATGTTCCTCTGTCATTGATGTTTCTATCTATCCCTCTCCCTCCCTCTCTCTCTAAAAATCCATAATAGCATTTATAAAAACAAAGAGTTAAAGATGACACAGGCCGAAACCGGTTTGGCTCAGCGTCGGCCTGCGGACTGAAGGGTCTCAGGTTCGATTCCGGTCAAGGGCATGTGCCTTGGTTGCGGGCACATCCCCAGTGGGGGATGTGCAGGAGGCAGCTGATCGATGTTTCTCTCTCATTGATGTTTCTAACTCTCTCTCTCCCTTCCTCTCTGTAAAAAATAAATAAAATATATTTTTTAAAAAAAAGATGACACAGTATCAAAGACTCAGGGCCAACTCCTCAAGCAATATCCCTTTTCCAGGCTCCCACTTCTGGTCGACTTTGTGCTATGGCTGACCTAGCTGTCACTAATACAGAACATGATTAGTTTGACTACAGTTGGCCTCACCCTGCCTGAAGCTCACTTGCCTCTATTATACTGCTCCTACCACCAGGAAAGAATTGGGATGCCAAAGGAATCAGACAAAATCTTCCCTTTTGTCCTCATACAACTTAAATCCTGCTCCTTCTTAAACCTCAAGACTATTGCAACCATCCCCAAACTCTCAACTTTCCATCTAAAACTTCCCAGCAGCCCCTGGCCCACCTACAAGCTAAAGTCTTTAACAACTTCAGGGACATCATGCTTTCCTTTCTTTCCGGCTGGGTGCTCCTTTCCCTTTCCTTCCCTTGGACTACTAACTTTGATGACCTCCATTCCTTGCACATTGTAAATGTGTTTGTAGAATTTGGAGGGAAAAAAGACTTAGTCCTTAGAACTCTGCCTTCTCTTAATAGTTTCCTCTTTTGGAGTTTCTGTCATCACTCTATCTCCACTTCTATGTGGATGTCAACTGACTTCCCCCAAGAGTACTTTGCCAGAATTTATTCTTTCTAGGTCTAGCATTGAGTTTTTCCTGTAGAGTTTATCTTGGTACTATCTTCCCAATTTCTCCATCATCCACAACACCATTGATATCCTGATCCTCTACATTTCTAACCTTGGAGTTATCTGCGATTCTTCTTAGATCTATCACTTTCTAATTATTTGCAAAGTTCCGCTCATCCTAACTCCACTGGGTCCATTAACTTTGTCCCCTGCTTCCTCCTCTCTCCTCTCTGTCCCAAAGGGATTAGTGTTCCTAGATTTTCTCTTTCACCAAGTGAAAGATGAAAGAAGTTATCTGTCTCCCCTGCCACCCAAGCGCCTTGTCAGGAATGTAGTCAGCAGTTTGAACACACACGAACAACATGAGGCTCAACAGGAAGAATCCTTAGCGATTATTTTACAGTAGAAAGATGTGATGCCCAACATGGATAACCCTCTGGTTGCTGTCACAGTCAGACTCCTTCTCCAGCACCTCTTCCATTACGCCGCTGTCATTGGCATTTTCCTCCCATCACACCTTTGGTACCCACCCAGCCAGTGCGGGCTGCCCCCATCGCAGCATCATATTTTACCTGCTCTGGCTCCGCAAGTCCCACCCACCTGCAGAAGACCCCCGAGTCCCTAGGGGAAGCAACTCCCATTGGCCGACCCGCCCCCTCTCCGCACCTCATTGGCTACTGTACTGAAGGTCCCGCCCAGTCGGCCCCTCAGGTTCCAGCAGCCATGGGACAATCCAGGCAGAAAACGGCGGGAAAGGCCGAGTGTCTGCTTGCGGGGCTAGCGGGCCACGTGGGCCTGGGAGCCGGCCGCGGCCGAGGAGCCCTCGAGGAGAGAGAGCTCAAGGCCTGCTCCTCCTCGTGCGCTGCGCTGCTGCAGGACCACGGCGAGGGCGGCCGCGCGCCCACAGCCCTGGGCCCCGCGCTCCACGCAGCGCCTCGGTCCGGGAAAGTTTTCGGCCAGCCAGGCAGGCGGAGCTCACACCACCGACGCGAGCCCGGACACCGAAGCCACCTTGTTGTCCTCGGCCCAGGGCTGCAAGTTCTGCAGCGCGAAGAGCGACGAGTTGTGCAGGCAGAGCGGGTCTGGGGGCAGCGGCGGCCGCAGCGGCCGCGGCAGCGCGTCCTGCTGCAGGTGCAGGAGCAGTCGGCCCGCGCGGTGCCGCTCCGCCTCGCGCTCCTCCGCCGTCTGGCGCCTGGACGGGCGGAGATGCGGGGTCAGCGAGGCCGGCCCGCGCCCGGCCCGCGCCCGCCCCGCTCCTCGCCGCCAGTGGGTCCGGCCCGCGGCCCTTCCCCGCCCCGCGCCTCACCGCCACTTGGTGCGCCGGTTCTGGAACCACGTCTTGACCTGAGCGTCCGTCATGCGCAGGGCCTTGGCCAGCGCCGCCCTCTCCGCCGAGGCCAGGTATTTCTGGCGCAGGAAGCGCCGCTCCAGCTCCAGCACCTGGGAGCGCGAGAAGGACGTGCGCGGCTTCTTCCGCTTCGGCGGGGTCCGGTTCTGGTAAGGATGGCCGATGCGGCGCGTCCCGGAGAAGGGGGAGAGCGCGGCTGCGGGAGGAAGAAAGAGCGGGGCAGGGTAGGCGGGGCGGCCGAGTTCTGGTGCCCCCAGGTCGCCCCGCACCAGCAGAGGCCTCCGGCAGGGACGGGCTCGGGAGGAGCGGCCCTGGGGGAGGGAGCATGGTCCCCATCACTTCCCCCTGCTCTCCCCGCGGCGTGGACAGTGGCCTGGAGAGAAGGGCGCGGGCATCGACGGCAGCTCACCTCCCATGCCCTCATCAGCGGGACCAAGACACGTAGTTGGGAGGGAACCCCCTGAAAGGATCCGAGGGATGCGCAGGAAAGGCACCCGGATCTGGATCCCAAGGGTCAGAGATGCGGAAACCCAGTCCTTGCGGGACCACACGGCGGAGGGGCTGGGCATCCTCACCCGTGAGCCGGTCCTTGGCGAAGCGGCGGCCGCTGTCCATCCAAGGGAAGGTGAGCCCCGCCAGGGCCCCGGTGCCGCCCAAGCCCGAGGGGCCGGGCACCGCAGGCGCGCTTCCCGCAGGCGGCGGCACCGGCAGCGGACGGTGCGCGGGGACGCGGATCACGCCGCCCGGGCCCAGGCCGGAGCTGCCGGGGAGCGGGCCCAGCGCGCCAGAGGGACCGTAGCTCGAGGCTCCGTGAAATCCCCCCGAGAACGCCGCGCTCTCCCCGGGGCCCTGGCCCGCGCGACCCGGGCCTAGGCCGCTCCCGGTGGACTCCGGGCAGCTCAGGATCTGATCGATGCCGAAGCTGATTGGCTCGTGGTGCGGGAGGTGGTGCGAGGCCAGCACCGCCGGCTCCATGGGCCCGGGTTCGGGGGGACCGCAGGAGGGTCGGCGGTTTGGAGGGCGCCCCAGGCGGCTCCGGGAGCCCGGCGGGGGAGCGCTCAGGGCGGCGGCCTCAGGGGCCCGCGGAGCTGGCCGCGGCGGGACACCGGGGCCCCCGGGACAGCTTCATCCCAGTGCACGGGCAGTAGCCGCGCCCATGCCGGCCTCTGCGGGGCGTCGGTGCAGGAACTCGCATCCCGGGGGAGCGCGACCGACCAGGGTCCCAGGAGCGCCCTTCCGACTCTGAAGCGCAGATGGACGCTGGGCTGCCGGGCCTCTGCCCGCGTCCGGGGTGGAGAGGGTGGCCGGCTCGGGCTCGGGCTGGGGCAGTGACTGACAGATCTGCCTCCGGTGGGCAGCGGGGCTGGGGGTAGGGCAGGGGCGGGGCCGGCCCGTTAAAGGGGAAGAGGCGCCTGTTTGCGCCCAGGGAGGGGGAGACTGGCCGATGGGGATGGCGGGGGTTGGGTGAGGAGGTGGCCGGGGTGTTAGGCACCCAGCTCAGTCCGGGAGGGGCGAGGGCCGGGGCGGCTGCGCGCTGAGTCAGCCGAGATGCGCGCGGCGACTCCGTCCTCGCCGGCCTCCGCCCGGGGGTTCCTCGCGGGTGTCTCTTCCCACACCCCGCACTCTGCGCCTCCCGATGGGTCCTGCCTGCCGACTCCCGGATTCGTTGTGCCCCCCGCCTACGTGCCCGCCAAGACCAAATCTCGTTGTGGCTTCCAGGATGCGAAGGGCAGCAGCTGGGGACCGGCGCGGGCCCGGGCAGGCCCGGGAAGGGAACAGGTGTGGGGAGCGGCGGCCGCGCGCAGCTGGTGGG